TCAACCAGAGCCACCAAAGATCAGTGGCCCCTCCACCCACAGCAGGGCCAACGGGGTCAGCCACAGAGCCTCCTCCGGGGCCACAGAGGACACCAAACACGAACCACGGTGGAACGTCTGACCTGCACTGGGGCCACCAAGGATGGAAGAGCGGAGAGGGCGATCTAGGGACCCAGGGGCTGGGCAGAGCCCACCGGACTCACCAGCTTCTGAAACAGGTGCCCGACCACCACGCCGCTGTCCCAGTTCTGGATCTGGGGCCACAAGCTGTCATAAAACTCCTTGTGGATTTCGTAGATGTCCTGGATCTTGTAGAAAATGGTCTCGATCTGCTGGATGGTGAGGACCGGCTGGGAGGTGGTGGCTGTCGCCTTCAGGGGCTTCATCGGCTGCAGAGGACAGGAGGAGACAGATGGAGCCCTCTGGCCCTGGGACTTTTAAGAAACACAACTTTATATTTTTTGGACTCGCAGACAGAGGACTGGAAAATACAGCCACCCGTCGGCCGACAAATGTTGGAAACTGTTTTCTACTGAATTTAGGGTGTCTTGCCTTCATCATCATCATCATTATCTTCTGCTGCTGTCTGGACCGGATTACCGCCACCCCCTTTCTTTTAAAAACCAGAAATCATGAGAAAGATCATAAGGTCACTTCTCCCTTTCTCTCTTTTTAAATGTTGTTTCAGGCCTCAAACAGGTACAGGAATAAAATAACCTTCCCTTGGAGGATCCCACCTGCTGGAAGCTTCTAGGTGCTTCTCCTTTGTGAGTTGAATTCCCACCCCAATCATCATTACAAGCGGGCTGCCGATGGTCCAGAGACAGTTCAGTTTCTACCTCCCATCTAGCGATCCGTGTCTCTTATAACTGATGATGGAAGAGCCCCCCCGGCCCACCTGTGGCCTTACTCTTTCAACACACAGCACCAGGGTACGTCTGAACGCAACATATAAAAAGCCTGAGGTGGGTGGATAGGACTTGTTGGGGCCCAGAACTCCCATAATTCTGCAGCCACGCATTTTCCCAGCAACAAATAACTATTATTGCGATCAAGTCCAGATCTAATGCAAATTTGGGGTGGGGGGTCGGTTTTGTCGTCCATGGCCAACTCAGACCCGTCAGCCTTGCAAAAGATCTGCTCCCGGACGGAGCTGAAAAAGGGCCAGAAAGGGTTGGTCAAGAGGGTATGAGATCCTTGGCTGACAACCTTTCTTTAGGACGAAGGCCTGCATTCTGAAATCTGCCCCTACGTCTCTGCAGAGCTGCTTTCAAACATTCACGGCCCTTTGGAAGATTCCCCAATGCTCCAAAATACGGAAGGACACACACGCACGCAGTCTCGCCCTCCCACGCGGGTGTTACGCAAAGCCAACCAGGTCTGACTCGAACGGCGGGCTCGAAAGAGGAAGCAGAAGCACCAAATACAACCCCAAAGAGACGACTTTTGCAGATGATGTTACGGCTGCAGGACATCAAAAAAAGCGAAACGTAGGGAACTCCCTGCCACAAGAGGGGCTTTGCGTCAGAAGAATATCAGGTCTCTTTTTATTTTGGGAAAGGCAGCGTTCCCCAGGGACATGGAGCACAACTTTGGCAGTCCAGACGGGCTGGTGACACGGGAAGTCCTCGGATCAAAAAAGCTGCTAGCCAGGAAAGCTTTTGAAATGGAACTTCTGTCTCCTGACGCAGTGTACCCCAAGGGCCAGGCTTAGTGCATGGGGGGGGGAACTGCTCTCCCTTCTGCCCGGTTTGCTCACAAACTTCATAGACCCACCAGTTTGGGGAGACTCTCTCTTTTTTTAGAAAAGAAGACTCTTAAGAAGAGCATGGCTCAGTCAGCCCAAAGGCTTCCGCAAAGCTCAGCCAGGTATCCCAGCAAAGTGATTTTCAGCTCCAGCCAGGAGCAGGTCTTTTGTAAGGCTTACGGGTCTGAATGGCCCATTCAAGACAAAGGTGGCCACACTCTCTAGCTCACAGGTTCACAATTCTGAGTTTTTCCAGTGGTCCCTTGTCCTGGTCCTCTCGCCCCCCAAAAAAAGTCCCACCTCCGAGGCGATTCTCCTTTTCCGTTCCTGCTCTGCCCGCCCCAATGCTGGTCACGGACCTTACCAGCAAGAGCGCCTCCAGCTGGTTGATGTACATTTCCTCGCTGGCCAAGAAATCCTTCAGCACCAACTTCCGCATGTCCACCCCTTTCCTCGCTTCCCGTTCACCCTGTGAAGGAGAAAGTATCGTGTTAGAAAGAGGAGACGTACTCAGGCAATGGGCCACCCCACCAATTTATGGGAAATCAACGTGAACGCCGTTAACAGTCTCACAAACTTTTCTTATGTCGTTCGACCGCTCGTCTCTCCCTTAAAGAACGGTAGGTGGGTGTGGTATTTTTCCTGGACCACCCAGGAAAGCTTCTGAGGGTCCCATAGCCCTTCTTTCGGTTGGGCACTGTTACAGTTGAAAGGGTGTGAGGAAGAGGAGCAGAAAAGTCCCACAACCGGACCACTGGCTATGCTGTAACTATTCCAAAGAAGGAATTCATGACAAGTTACTCATTATTCCTGGCAAGTAACTCTCAAGTTCCGTTCTCACACATTTTCTCTCTCACACAAACGCCCTCGCAAATGTACATGTACACAAACACACACACACAAGGGATGTTAATCATTTGCAGCACCGGCCAACAGAACACAGCTGGTGATGTGGATTCTGGGAGTTGTAGTCCACAAATCCAACCTTTCCCCATGTTTCCCTGCTTAGTTGGAAAGTCCCTCTAAAGCAGCCAAGACTTCCTCCTTCTCTGGGGCTATTTGGTCGCTATCCTTCCACCTCCCTCGCCCACACCGGCCTTTTGAGTTTACCTATTTTCTCAGGGCCTTTTTTTAATGGATATTTTTAGGTGGAGGTTTCCAGATTTTGCATCACAACTTGGCCTGGGAGGGAGGCTTTGCCAAAGACGGGTCCCGGCAGAGACACGAGTCCCAAAAAATAAAGAGGCGTGGGGGGGCAGGTTGGAAAAATCAAGCAACGACAGGCGCGCACCTGTTCATTAACAGTAGGATGGCGAAACGTCTAGCCAGGCACAGAGAGCAGACACCTGAAAGCGAACACTGAGCAGGCGATGCTGGGTGGAGGGGAAGAGGGAAAAGAGGGGTCACGGATTCTCGGCCACCTTGCCTTCTCCTCTGCCCGGGGTCTTCTCGCCTCTTGCAAGACCTTGGTGGCCAATCCTCCCCCCGTTCTTCTTAACCCACGTTCTGGGTGGCTTTCCTGCTCTGTTCCGTGGCTGGCCCGGACACCCGATCCCATCGTCCTCCCCTCCTCGTTCCCTGAGGCGCCGTCCCGTCTGTTTCTCAGGTGGAGACCCTGCCTTTCCTCCCAGAAGCACCAGGGAGAATTCGGGACTCCTTCCCTCCCTTCCTTCCACAACAGGCCGCCCGGCCACCTTCAGCAGCGGCTGGTCCGACCTGCGGGCATCTACCTTTCATTTTAATCCTGTCCTTTCGTCAGCAGCGGCTGGTCCGACCTGCGGGCGTCTACCTTTCATTTTAATGACAGGCGCCCCGTTTCTCATGGCTGGAATAAGGGCCGTTCTGACAGATGGTAGAGAACGGTGGAATGGACAGGGAGCCTCTCAATTCTTCTTGAGACTTCAACTCACTGAAGAGGGAGCCGGTCAGTGGGTCCCTTTTCGGCCCGGCCTTTCCGGCCTTCCATGCCTCCTGGCCTTGACACTGCTCTCCTCCTTTTTCACTTTACTTTGTG